TTCACTGAAACGAGCCGTCAATCGGTTGACAATCGGTTCATATATTTTGCTGACATTTTTGGCAAAATCAGACAAACGATTAAACCGATCAATAGTATGATTAATGTGTCCAACTTTTTGATAAATTTCCGATCGTTTAGCCACAGAATAGTCATCGGGAGTAAGAGATTCAAACAGATTGTCTAATAATCGATTTAATGAACATTTATCGGGCAAAGAGTTCACATTTTCCGTGCATTTTGTCAAAATTATAGCATAAAATATAGTTAATATAAACAAGTTATTATAATTCATGATTAATGAAATAACAAATTTATTGTTTACACAATATAATATGCAAAACAAATAAATGTATTAAGTTTTAATCTTTAAATATATGAAAAAACTATAGTTTTGTTTTTTAGGGTTTTTTGTATCACATTTAACAGTTTTATTTTTTTGAGTTAATAAATCTTGTTTATATATTTCAAAATATATTATTCACATAATATTGTCATTATTTAATGAACATTTATCGGCCAAAGAGTTGCCATTTGTTATGCATTTTATTAAAATTGTTAAATAAAAAATTGTTAATATATTAAGATAATTACAATTCATGATTAAATTATAATTTTTATTTAAAGACAAATAAAATTGTTACATAAATATTTAAGTTTTAAATATAAGTAAATTGTTATATTTATTCTTTATATATTATAAAATAATTTTTTTGAAATATATGTTAAAATCTTATTTAAATAAAATTTTTTGTTTATTTTAAATAAATATTTATTAGTAACATTACATAACATGTCACCATTGCTTGAATATGGAGATAAAAGCACATGTATTTGTAAATGTTTATATAACGGGGGTATTCCTCTTATAACTACTTTATTTACAAAAGTAATTATTATGTATTTAGGTGTTTATGATTTATGTGTTACCTAGTGTTGGCAAAGAAAAAGAAATTTATAAAATAATAGAGAAATTTCTATCTATGGGTTAATTTTGTTATCTCGATATTATATAACGATCATATAACAATACATTTTTATTTTTAATTAAAGTAAAAATTAATTAATTAAACGGGTAAAATTCAGAGTAGGAGCTGTGTATACCCCCTCTATTGGATTTAGTTTAACTAAAACTACACACTGTGTATGTTATACACTCTATAATATACAGTACATTATAACATATACATGTATATATAGAAAGCAAGCAATAGTAGTCAAGTAATAGTAAATTAGTGTTACCTAACGTTACCTAACCTGGTGTACGCCCCGCAACCTAACCTAAATTTTAATGGTATTACACCATAATTAATAATTTCTAAATAATTACTTATATACACAATCAATAAACTATTAAGTGCTTATTATTGACCAATTAGTGTTTTCACTTAACTGTATGCTATACTGTGGTTGTACTGTATATTTGTATCAATGTATAGCTTTAGTAGTGCTAAAACATTAGTTACGTTGTAATCTAATAGAGGGTGCAATCACAGCTCCTACTTTAAATTATATCCACTATATCTTATAATACAGATATTACAATAACTATACAGTAGATGTGGGGATCCCATAGTATAACATTAAAGTTAAATTTCTATAAAAATTTATTCATGAGAAATTTTCTAGAAACTATCTATCTACTAGAAACTATCTAGAGCCTATGTTTTTAAAAAACGTATCGATTAGATAAATATTAGTTATTAATATACATATATATATATATATATATATATTATGCTCTATACTATTATTATACTATTATGATGACCACATGATTTCGGTAGCGACCGAATTGATGGCTGCCTTTCCATTGAAAAATATTATGTCCAACCAATAGATGTGTTGATTAGCATTTTTATTATTATTATTTAACTAATATTTTTATGATTATTGCTATCGATTGGCATTTACTACATAGTTATTCGCTGTAATTAACAATATCACATATTTTTCCAAACTTAACAAATTTAATATATGTTTAAATTATGTGGAAATAAATTTGATTATTATTTCACAAAAAACAATTGATTTTAGATTTTTTCAGATTATTAGGACCTAATATGCTGTTACATACAGTACATACAGTACATAAAATTACTATTATACTATTTATTTATTATTTTTAGTAAATACTATTAATTCTTTAGTTTAATAAAATAAAAATCTTATTTTATATGATAAACATTCATAAAAATGTTTTTCAATAAACATTTAAATATTTGTAATTTTAATTTACAAAAATATATAACAAAATAACAAAATTGGAGAATAAAATCAATTCTTATATTTAAAAAACTATTTTGAAAAATAATATAAAAAATATTTGAATAATTTTAAAGACTTTTATTTTCTTCTTTTTGTTGATTTCTTGGTTTTCTTTCTATATTTGACTTTAAAATTGATAACAAATTAGCCGTCGGAGCACTTATTAGCAAATAAAACGGTATCGAAATTATCAAAGTTATTATATAATCAGCCAAAGACATTGTCCACTGATATGAATATATTGAATATGTATTATAATTAAGTAAAAAGTATATTTTCAAAATGTATAAACAATAACTAACCACATAATAGTGTGTATAAACCACTTGATTTCGTGCAATACAAACGCGATATATAATACTAAATACGTGTAACTAAAAATACAAACTAATTAGTTATATAATAAAAAGGTTAACAATTGTCAAATTATACTATTTTTTATATATTTATATTTAAATTACTAAATATTTGCCGATATGTGTGTTAAAACATTTATAAATAATTATAAATACAAACCAAAGATATTTCAAGCGCTAAATTTGTGGTAAATGTAAATCCTTTCCAACCGAGAGTTTTGTTAATAAAATCTGTTATTTTTATAAATTAATAAAAACATATTGACATTACATTTATTATATATAATTTATATTTTAATAGACTACCTGCTCTATCAGTAGCACAGGCATAAAAAGCCCAAAACCAACCAATAGTATACATATATTTAGATAATGATAGAAATATAAATATTTCTTTATTTGAATGCTTATAGTATTTATGAAAGAATAGGTTTGTCCAATAAAGTGAACCCATAGTCAATGTCCACGTTGTCATCCATAACAGTGTTTCACCGATTCGGCCGCCGAGATATAGGTTGGGTTTATAACGTATCAAATAACCGCATAAAATACCCAACATATAGGTACTGATGTGCGTATCGGCCTTCCAGTAGTGTTGAATCATAGCTCTAATCATATCCCATAGACTAATATAATTTGGTAATTCAATAAAGTGTGGCATATCCCATATATATTTTGGTGCTATTAGAAAATAACCACCCAATCCTAATGACATGATTAGACCCCACCAAACAGCTATACGTGGATAATGATATTGAACTAGAAAAGCTACCGGTGCTATCAAAAATATTTGAAACTCAGCAGAAACATACCTGATATATAAAGGTATTTTACAACAAATCTTTGTCTAATAAATAAGTAACTAAATAATCAATTTTATACATACCAACCGCTAGGATTACACTGTAAATTAAAATTTAATAAATAATAATAAAAAGTTTTTTTCAGATATTGTTTATAATAATCTATACCAAAAATTTTTCAGGTGGTGACATATTAAAATTGCTAATCATTGTTAATACAGAAAACCAATTATCACGACACGGGAGATATAATGCACTCGTTATAAATAACCAATTAGGACCTAATTAAAAATATTATTATAATATTCATTTACAGTTTTATTTGACATTTATTATTATTATTATTATTATTATTATTATTATTATTATTATTATTATTAGTAGTAGTAGTAGTAGTATTGATATATTATTACCATTTCCTAAAAGTGGAAATATAAAATAAAGCAAAACAGCGCCCATTACTGGTGTTACTACACGAATATATCTATTTTTTAATAAAAAAAATTTATTTAACAAATTTGTTTTATTACTAAAAAGTTAATAAGTTTTACTTGAATACTACATATTGTATGTAATTGAATGAACCCTTAGACTTGTCTAACTTGGAAAACATCACATAAGAGATCATCATTCCTGAAACAGTAATTATTATGTTTGTAAAGTATGTATGAGCTGTTAAAACATACCTCCAATCAAGAAAAAGGTATCAATTAAATGATAATTAGTTGTATAAATGTATTTCCACGACACTATCAATTGGGATCCGACCGAATTGGTGGCCGTTTTTGCATGTATTGGAAGAAAGTCTATCCAATTGGTGTGTATTAGTAAAACACAAAATGCAAGTATAGTTCGGAGACCATCCAGAAAAGCAAACCGATTGTTTGAATTACTGTTTTTGAATAAACTTTTGAAATTAGATATCATTGAAAACGATAGCATCAATTGTACACCCATTTGGTCTTTCATGTGGTTTTGTGACCACATTATGCGCCACAACTCATATAACGTTGATTTTACTGATAATATTATTAATACTAAAAATATAATTCTGAAAAATATACATTTATTTATTTTATTACATACATTAAATTATTAAACAAGTTATAAATATTAAATAAAAAAAATTATCTATATATTTATTAGGTTTTAATATATTTAATATTTAATATGATTTTATTCATGAAATATTTATACTTACATTGCAACCCATTGATGAACATCCAGTTTAATAGGTTTGTCCACTGAATCACATTCAGGTAAGAATACGACCGGCATTTGTGTTATCGGATATATAACTAAAAAAGTTTTTTTAAATTTACGATTTAAAAAATATTTGGTAATATTATTTACAAAAACCTTTATTTATAGCGTATTCAATGTCTTGTATTTTACATGTGTTGGGCAAACAAATACCGATCGGTAAATGATTGTCAAATGTCTTGCCGTAAGACATAATTGCAATAAAATCGGCGACCATTTCTCGGCTGATTTGAAAAGCTTTCATTCGCATTGTTCGGTTGAAGTCATCGGTTCCATAATTGTCATGTATTTTACGAATTTTTTCATTTAATTTAATAAAATTTATTTCTTTGTTTAGCTGTTCATATGTATCGCCTTTGACTTCCATATTTACAATACCGACCCAACAATATTGTCCTCTAATAGACTGTCCACTCATATCGTTAGTACTTTCTATACTTAGGCACTCATCATAACCGATCGGTGAAGTACTTCCCTGTATTAAACCAGATTTAGGTGTTGGGAATGTCCGCAAAACTATTCAAAAATATTCAATAAATATTATATATTTTATCATAAATACAAAAAATGTGGTGTTATTTAAATGTAAATTTAGTTAGTTTGATATAAAACATACAATTTAGTGCCCATTTTTTCTTGTCTTTCACAGCCGATCCTAACTTTATCAACGAAGACATGCAATCATTTGGTAAATCAATTTCCATCAATAGTTCACTGAAACGAGCCGTCAATCTATTGACAATCGGTTCATATATTTTGCTGACATTTTTGGCAAAACCCGACATACGATTGAACCGATCAATAGTATGATTGATGTGTCCAACTCTTTGATAGATTTGCGATCGATTGGCCACAGAATAGTCATCGGGAGTAAGAGATTCAAACAGATTGTCTAATAATCTATTTAATGAACATTTATCGGGCAAAGAGTATACATTTTTTGTATATTTAATCAAATATATAGTACAAAATATAACTATTATATTTGAATATTTCATTATTAGAAAAAGTGTTCATAAATTTTTTCTGGCAAAATAGGAAATATTTTTTTCTATAAGTTATATTATAAATATATAATAAATTATGTTAGTATTTTGTTTTTGTTTTTTATAAGGTTTTTTCTATTTTAATTAAATGATTTCATTATCTAAATTGATTTTTTATTTAAAGTCATTTTAAATTTAATAAACATTGATTGTCAAAAATTTAGACTCTAAATCACTAACTTTTAATTATAATAGATTTCTATATAAAACTATTTTAATGTTATAAAATAAACTTTCAAAAACTAATTTTTTTTTTCAATCTACTTAACAAAAGTTTAATAAATTCTTATATTTTTAAAAATACTAATTAAAAGATTATTTTTTCAAATTATGATATTGTCTATTAAAAAAAATAATTTCTATATAATTTTAAATGTCAAAACTTCGATTGTATTATTTTTATTATTTATTTTTTATACCCTAATAAAATTAGTAATATTGTATTTGTATTTTTTATAAAATTAAAATGATTTTGCAGTTTTAATATACATTTTCAAAAAAAACTTGAAAAGTTTTGTTTTCTGAAATCTATATGAGCCTTTTTGAGTCTTTTGTCTGTCTGTCTGTCTGTAGCATTTCATTTTGCGAATTTTGAAATTCTGACTTCAGATTAGTTTAGAGGACTACTAATAATGTATTGAAAAGTTGCATCAAAATTTTGATATCTCTTCGGGAACATAGACAAAAATGGCGGCCAAAGTAAAAATAAATTTAAGAAATTTTTTTTAAGTATAGATTTTAATAAAGCATCAAAAACAAGAATAAAAAATATACATTAAAATTTTGATCTCTTCGGGAACATAAAGAAAATGGCGGCCAAAGTAAAAACATTATGTAAAAATTTTAACGTTTAGAATTGTAAAGAGCATCAAAAATATGATATAATATATTAGTATAATTTAAAAAAATGCGGCAAAAGTATAAAAATTTTAAGAAAATATTTGTGATTTGAATAAAGCATAAAAACAAGGATAAAAAAATATGCATTAAAATTTTGATATCTATGGGAACAAAAATAATAAGTATAAACGGCAAAAGTATAATTATATATGATTATTTTGTCAAACTCAATCATTTGATACCCACATGACTATAGTTGTTTATTTTGTCATACCCAGTCAATTGCTACTCTAAATGACTAAAGTTGTGTTTATTTTGTCATACTGAGTCATTTGATACCCTACATGAATAAAGTTAAGTTTATTTTGTCATACTGAATCATTTGATACCATACATGACAATATTTATATTATGTATATTTGACCAGTTTTTAAATTTTTATATGTTATTATATAGCCGCTATAATTATACTAACTGGTTTTTAATGGTTTTTAATGCTATTCAAGTTTTTTCTGAAAATGCTTTCTAGCATTCTTAACTGGTTTTTATTTTGTATAATAAGCATAGATTATCTGATCATTGTTTGTCTAAATTTTTCAGTTTCTTATTTTTAATCATATTTAGATAACTTTATTAATCAATTATTCTATTATACATAATAACATTGACTTTCAAATTTCCAATAAAATTTTTAGATAATTTATATTAAATTTTCTTAACATTATTCAATGTTAAATAAAGATTTAGTGGGCCTGGGCTATTTTTTGATAATAGGTTATTAAAGATTACAACTGTTCAAAACTTGTTTAAAAAAAACAAAATTAATAGTAGAATATTGTTAACTATTGAAACTAATGATTAAAAAACTATTGAAATTATTTTTATCGCCAATTTGTTGTCAATGTGTCAGTTAATCATATCATTGATACTAAATGTTTGATCAGATTATGAAACAGATAACTGATTTTAAATATTTAACTAATATTATGTCTTAACTATTTTACAAAAAATATTTTAATATTAATAGCATTTTAAAATCAACTATAAATAAATAATGTATTAGTATTATGATATGCATTTCTATTGAATATATTATAATTTACAAGTATTATAATAATAGATAAATTATACTATAATTTTTTTATTATAATAGCATAAATACTGTTAGTTTTAATTGTGTTTATATTTAATAAGATATAACTACCAAAAATGTTTAGATATTACACAATAATAAAACAACTGGATTTTCAATAATGGTTTTCCTGGTGAGCGACTGTTGTTTATTGTCATTTCAAATATTAACAAACAGCTGTAGTTTGGGTAAAAAGAATCGTCACTTTACCTGACAAAACAAAACAATAAAAACTTAATTGTTTTTATATTTAAACATAAAAACTAATTATTTATTAACTAATTAACTAAAAATGTGTTAAAAATACAAAATATGAAATTAAATAAACATTACATATGTTTCCTCTTCGGAGAAAAATCTTCACAAGAGAAAAAAGTTCCCTAAAATTTTTCAACCAATTTTCGAGAAAAATAATGAAAATATTTTATCTATATAAAAGATAATATCATATATATATTTCATTTTATTTTAAAAGTCGAAAACAAATTTTTAGCATAAATTTTAAAAATAAATATTAATTTTAGAAAAAATTTTGAGGCATTGAGAAACTAAGTTGGGAAAATTTTTATTAGTTTATTAGTTATTTATTGAGAATTTATTGGGAATTTAATGAAAATTTATAAGGAATTTATTGGAAATTTAGTTTGAATTTAGTGGGAATTTACTTAACATAAGTTTAAAATTTTATAAACCTTAAAATATAAACATTTAAATTAAATTAGAAATATACAATAGTATACGAATGTTTTTCAATAAAAATTTAAATATTTGTAATTTTTATTTACAGAAATATATAAAAAAATATCAAAGTTGGAAAATAAAATCAATTATTATATTTTAAAAAGTATTTTGAAAAATAACATAAAAAATATTTGTATAATTTGTATAAACATTTATTTATAATAGTTTTTAATATATTTAATATGATTTTAGTCATGAAATATTTATACTTACATTGAAATCCATTGATGAACATCCAGTTTAATAGATTTGTCCACTGAATCACATTCAGGTGAAAATACGACCGGCATATGTGTTATCGGATATATAACTAAAGTTTTTTTTAAAATTATAATTTAATAATTATTTGGTAAAAATATTTACAAAAACCTTTATTCATAGCGTATTCAATATCTTGTATATTACAAGTGTTGGGCAAACAAATACCGATCGGTAAATGGCTATCAAATGTCTTGCCGTAAGTCATAATTGCAATAAAATCGGCGACAATTTCTCGGCTGATTTGTAAAGCTTTCACTCGCATTGTTCGGTTGAAGTCATCGGTTCTATAACTGTCAGTCATTTCAAGATTTCTTTCACTTAATTTAATAATATTAATCTCTTTGTTTAGCTGTTCATATGTATTGCCTTTGACTTCCATATTGACAACACCGACCCAACAGTACTGTCCTCTAATAGACTGTCCACTCATATCGTTAGTACTTTCTATACTTAGGCACTCATCATAACCGATTGTGAAGTACTTCCCTGTATTAGACCAGATTTAGGTGTTGGGAATGTCCGCAAAACTTATATAATTAATACTTTTCAAAAATATTCAATAAATATTATATATTTTATCATAAATACAAAAAATGTGGTGTTATTTAAATGTAAATTTAGTTAGTTTGATATAAAACATACAATTTAGTGCCCATTTTTTCTTGTCTTTCACAGCCGATCCTAACTTTATCAACGAAGACATGCAATCATTTGGTAAATCAATTTCCATCAATAGTTCACTGAAACGAGCCGTCAATCGGTTGACAATCGGTTCATATATTTTGCTGACATTTTTGGCAAAACCCGACATACGATTAAACCGATCAATAGTTTGATTGATGTGTCCAACTCTTTGATTGATTTGCGATCGATTGGCCACAGAATAGTCATCGGGAGTAAGAGATTCAAACAGATTGTCTAATAATCGGTTTAATGATCATTCATCGGGCAAATAGTTGCCATTTGTTACGCATTTTATCAAAATATTAAATAAAAAATTGTTAATATATTAAGATAATTACAATTCATGATTAAATAATAATTTTTATTTACACAATAGAATATTAAAGATAAATAAAATTATTACATAAATATTAAAGTAAATAACTACAGTTTTATTTATTCAAAGGTTTTTTATAAAATATAAAATAATTTTATGAAATATATTTTGAAATCTTATTTACATAATATTTTTCGTTTATTTTAAATAAATATTTATTAGTAAATAAAAATCATAATATATTAATAGTCAGATCTAATAGTTTAATAGTTGATGTAATAGTTTAACAAATAGTGTGATAATAATATTGATTAAAAATTTAGGCAAAATATTACAATTACAGATAACTAATAAAATAGTATTTTATAAAATATTATTATTATGTTTTTATGATAATTATAGTATATATATATTTTTAATGTATAAAATAATTACTAAATACATAGTAAGTAGTTTGTAAAAATCGTTTTCGTGTAATACCAATGCGATATAATATGGTAAGTGTATTCAACTAAAAAATATATAAATAATTACTAATTAATTATATAATAAAAATAGCTAAAAATTTTCAAATTGCATTAATTATTTATGTTAAAATATAATAAAAAATTTCTGTAAATACAAACCAATGATATTTCAAGCGATATATTTGTGGAAAATATAAATCCTTTCCAACCGAGAGTTTTGTTAATAAAATCTGTTGATTTTATAATTAAAAAAAACATTATAACATTACGTTTATTATATATGTAAGACTAGCAGTTATTTTTAATGTTAGTGTTATATAATAGTAGTTTTTGATGCAGTCGTAAGTTGAACCGCTAGTCTTATTGTTGGTGATAATGATAATGATAATGAATTGTAACACAATTTACTAGATTAAAATAAGTTTTAGTTTATTATATAATTAAACAATTGGATTAAATACAATGATTATGATTTATTAAAATATTAAAACAATTATTATATAAAGTATTAAAATATAGTTATAGTGGTGTCAAATGAGTTGATCACTTATATTGAACCCAGTATCTGATCCAGTGATCTATAGGTTGAGGCCTATTGCTTATGTAGTCACCAATCAAAGGTCAGATTTATTGTTGCATTAGTACTCCATTGGAGGACTAAGTATTGATGAAACAGTGGAAGGCCTAACAATTATCTGCAATTTCTTTGAGGGTATTGACCGTGCAATGATGGTACCGATTAATTATGATTTATGATTAGTTTCTTGACTCTGAAATCAAATTTGGGATCAATTAGAGCGCGGGAAGTGCTTTTTACTGAGCTTTATATTAAGTGATATTTTGGGTTTTATAAGTAAAGTAAATATGCATTGAAGTAAAGGGAAACTTTAATTAATAACAGTTGCCTCTAATAGTGGACAACATATATAAATAAATATATTTTATATGAGAAAGTTATTTAAGTAAAAACATATAACTATTTATTATTTAGATTTAATTTTACACACATGTCTTACATATATAATTTAGATTTTAATTGATTACCTGCTCGATCAGTAGCACAAGTATAAAATGCCCAAAAAACCAACCAATACTTATACCTATATTTACTAAATAAAATATATAAAAATTATATAAAATATTAAATAACCGCATAGAATACCCATTATATAGGAACAACAAATGTATTGATCAGTGCCCCAGTAGTTATTAACCACTAGTCTAGTACTGTCCTATATATTAACATTTGATTGAAATATAATAATATAAGTAATGTTCCAAATAAATCGTTTTGTCAATAGAAACAAACCATCCAATCCTGAAAAACATAAATTTCCACTAAATAGCTGTACATAGATAGTGATATTGAACGAATAAAACTACCGGTGCTATCAAAAATATTTGAAAATCTGCCGAAATATGCACTCGTTATTAGTAACAAATTAGGTCCTAATTAAAATAATTTTAATAAAAAATATTAATGGATATTTTTTGTATAAAGATTATTATCATTATAAGTAGTAGTAGTAGTAGTAGTAGTAGTTTATTACCATTTCCTATAATTGGAAATATATATAAACAAAAAGAATACCCATTACTGGTTTACATGTCATCATTGCTTGAATATGGAGATAAAAGCACATGTATTTGTAAATGTTTATATAACGGGGGTATTCCTCTTATAACTACTTTATTTACAAAAGTAATTATTATGTATTTAGGTGTTTATGATTTATGTGTTACCTAGTGTTGGCAAAGAAAAAGAAATTTATAAAATAATAGAGAAATTTCTATCTATGGGTTAATTTTGGGGTAAAATTCAGGATAGGAGCTGTGTATACCCCCTCTATTGGATTTAGTTTAACTAAAACTACACACTGTGTATGTTATACACTCTATAATATACAGTACATTATAACATATACATGTATATATAGAAAGCAAGCAATAGTAGTCAAGTAATAGTAAATTAGTGTTACCTAACGTTACCTAACCTGGTGTACGCCCCGCAACCTAACCTAAATTTTAATGGTATTACACCATAATTAATAATTTCTAAATAATTACTTATATACACAATCAATAAACTATTAAGTGCTTATTATTGACCAATTAGTGTTTTCACTTAACTGTATGCTATACTGTGGTTGTACTGTATATTTGTATCAATGTATAGCTTTAGTAGTGCTAAAACATTAGTTACGTTGTAATCTAATAGAGGGTGCAATCACAGCTCCTACTTTAAATTATATCCACTATATCTTATAATACAGATATTACAATAACTATACAGTAGATGTGGGGATCCCATAGTATAACATTAAAGTTAAATTTCTATAAAAATTTATTCATGAGAAATTTTCTAGAAACTATCTATCTACTAGAAACTATCTAGAGCCTATGTTTTTAAAAAACGTATCGATTAGATAAATATTAGTTATTAATATACATATATATATATTGATGACCACATGATTTCGGTAGCGACCGAATTGATGGCTGCCTTTCCATTGAAAAATATTATGTCCAACCAATAGATGTGTTGATTAGCATTTTAATTATTATTATTTAACTAATATTTTTATGATTATTGCTATCGATTGGCATTTACTACATAGTTATGTAGTTGTAATTAACAATATCACATATTTTTCCAAACTTAACAAATTTAATATATGTTTAAATTATGTGGAAATAAATGTGATTTTTATTTCACAAAAAACAATTGATTTTAGATTTTTTCAGATTATTAGGACCTAATATGCGGTTACATACAGTACATAAAATTACTATTATATTATTTATTTATTATTTTCAGTAAATACTATTAATTCTTTAGTTTAATAAAATAAAAATCTTATTTTATATGATAAACATTCATAAAAATGTTTTTCAATAAACATTTAAATATTTGTAATTTTAATTTACAAAAATATATAACAAAATAACAAAATTGGAGAATAAAATCAATTCTTATATTTAAAAAAGTATTTTGAAAAATAATATAAAAAATATTTGAATAATTTTAAAGACTTTTATTTTCTTCATTTTGTTGATTTCTTGGTTTTCTTTCTATATTTGACTTTAAAATTTATGTTTTAAGTGTTACCTCATAATTATTTTTTTAAAAAACGTATCGATTAGATAAATATTAGTTATTAATATACATATATATATATTGATGACCACATGATTTCGGTAGCGACCGAATTGATGGTTGCTTTTCCATTGAAATGTATTATGTCGAGCAAAATGATGTGTTGGTTAGCATTTTAATTATTATTATTATTTATTTAACTAATATTTTTATGATAATTGCTATCGATTGGCATTTACTTAGAGATGGGAAAGTTTAGAGAATAACAACTTGCCGTAAGTCATAATTGCAATAAAATCGGCGACAATTTGTCGGCTGATTAGTAAAGTTTTCAATCGCATTGTTCGGTTGAAGTCATCGGTTCTATAACTGTCAGTCATTTCAAGATTTCTTTCATTTAATTTAATAATATTAATCTCTTTGTTCAGCTGTTTATATGTATCGCCTTTGACTTCCATATTGACAATACCGACCCAACAGTACTGTCCTCTAATAGACTGTCCACTCAAATCGTTAATACTTTCTATACTTAGGCACTCATCATAACCGATCGGTGGAGTACTTCCTTGAATTAGACCAGATTTAGACGTCGGGAATGTCCGTAAAACTTATATAATTAATTTTTTATTTTTATTTTAGTATTTTTTTCAAAATTATTCAAGAAATGTGATCTATTTTATATTTTCACATAGATTCAAAAATGTTATATTTTCTTAATGTAATTTTAATTAATTTTCAATAAAAGCATACAATTTAGTGCCCATTTTTTCCTGTCTTTCACAGCCGATCCTAACTTTATCAACGAAGACATGCAATCATTTGGTAAATCAATTTCCATCAATAGTTCACTGAAACGAGCCGTCAATCGGTTGATAATCGGTTCATATATTTTACTGACATTTTTGGCAAAATCAGACAAACGATTAAACCGATCAATAGTATGATTAATGTGTCCAACTTTTTGATAAATTTCCGATCGTTTAGCCACAGAATAGTCATCGGGAGTAAGAGATTCAAACAGATTGTCTAATAATCGATTTAATGAACATTTATCGGGCAAAGAGTTCACATTTTCCGTGCATTTTGTCAAAATTATAGCATAAAATATAGTTAATATAAACAAGTTATTATAATTCATGATTAATGAAATAACAAATTTATTGTTTACACAATATAATATGCAAAACAAATAAATGTATTAAGTTTTAATCTTTAAATATATGAAAAAACTATAGTTTTGTTTTTTATGGTTTTTTGTATCACATTTAACAGTTTTTTTTATTTGCGTTAATAAATCTTGTTTATATATTTCAAAATATATTATTCACATAATATTGTCATTATTTAATGAACATTTATCGGGCAAAGAGTTATAATGTTTCCATTTGTTACTCATTTTATCAAAATTATTAAATAAAAAAATTGTTAATATATTAAGATAATTACAATTCATGATTAAATAATAATTTTTATTTACACAATAGTATATTAAAGACAAATAAAATTGTTACATAAATATTTAAGTTTTAAATATAAGTAAATTGTTATATTTATTCTTTATATATTATAAAATAATTTTTTGAAATATATTTTAAAATCTTATTTAAATAAAATTTTTCGTTTATTTTAAATAAATATTTATTATTAACATTACATAACATGTCATCATTCCTTGAATATGGAGATAAAAGCACATGTATTTGTAAATGTTTATATAACGGGGGTATTCCTCTTATAACTACTTTATTTACAAAAGTAATTATTATTTATTTAGGTGTTTATGATTTAAGTGTTACCTCATAATTATTTTTTAAAAAACGTATCGATTAGATAAATATTAGTTATTAATAGTGTATTGATTAATAATTTTTTATACTCTATTAAATAGTTGTTATAGTAGTTGCTAAAAAACGTCAAATAGTTGTTAAAATAGATATTTAAACTGTATTAAATAGTTGTATATAATTGCCAAAAAAGCCAAATAGTTATTGAAGTATTTCAACTGATATATAATTTACTTGTTTTCAGCATATTTACAAAAATGATTTATATAAATAAACTAAATATTTCTATTGTTAAAAAAGTAATATGAGTTGATAACAGTTTACACATTTTATATAATTTATATAACTATTACTTTTTGTTTTTACATATATTTGAGCAATATTTTACAATTTAATGCTTATATTTTTCAAAATAAATGAAATAGTTATTTATAAGTTTTTATAGTTGCTAACCTAACAAATAGTTATTTATAGTTATAATAAAATTTCGGAAATAGCGTCCACTGGTCAAGTTCGGTGGACATACTAAGTCCCAGTTATAAGCGTTAAACCGACAAAATATTTTTTTTAGTTGGAAATCAAGACACTAGTTATTAATATACATATATATATATTATGCTCTATACTATTATTATACTATTATGATGACCACATGATTTCGGTAGCGACCGAATTGATGGCTGCCTTTCCATTGAAAAATATTATGTCCAACCAATAGATGTGTTGATTAGCATTTTAATTATTATTATTTAACTAATATTTTTATGATAATTGCTATCGATTGGCATTTACTACATAGTTATTCGCTGTAATTAACAATATCACATATTTTCCCAAACTTAACAAATTTAACAAATTTAAGTTTCTATTGTGTGGAAATAAATGTGATTTTTATTTCACAAAAAACAATTGATTTTAGATTTTTTCATAATATTAGGGCCTAATATGCGGTTACATACAGTACATAAAATTTTTTATTTAAATATAAGTCAAGTATATTAATAATCAGTAAATACTATTAATTCTTTAGTTTAATAATTTTATAACATTTAAAGATTTGTAATTTTAATTTACAGAAATATATAACAAAATAACAAAATTCGAGAATAAAATCAATTCTTATATTTAAAAATTAGTATTTTGAAAAATAATATAAAAAATATTTGAATAATTTTAAAGATTTTTATTTTCTTCTTTTTGTTGATTTCTTGGTTTTCTTTCTAAACTTGACTTTAAAATTGACAACAAATTAGCCGTCGGAGCGCTTATTAGCAAATAAAACGGTATCGAAATTATCAAAGTTATTATATAATCAGCCAAAGACATTGTCCACTGATATAAATATATTGAATATGTATTATAATTGAGTAAAAAGTATTATTATTATGAATTTTATAATAATTTTCAAAATGTATAAACAATAACTAACCACATAATAGTGTGTATAAACCACATGATTTCGTGCAATACTAACGCGATATAACATACTAAATACGTGTAACTAAAAATACAAACTAATTACTTATATAATAAAAAGGTTAACAATTGTCAAATTATACTATTTTTGATATATTTATATTTAAATTACTAAATATTACTAAATACTAAAAACATTTATAAATAATTATAAATACAAACCAAAGATATTTCAAGCGCTAAATTTGTGGTAAATGTAAATCCTTTCCAACCGAGAGTTTTGTTAATAAAATCTGTTGTTTTTATTAATTAAAAAAAACATAATGACATTACATTTATTATATATAATTTATATTTTAATAGACTACCTGCTCTATCAGTAGCACAGGCATAAAATGCCCAAAACCAACCAATAGTATACATATATTTAGATAATGAAATAAATAGAAATATTTCTTCATTTGAATGCGTATAGTATTTATGCAACAATAGGTTTGTCCAATAAAGTGAACCCATAGTCAATGTCCACGTTGTCAGCCATAACAGTGTTTCACCGATTCGGCCGCCGAGATATAGGTTGGGTTTCTTACGGATCAAATAACCGCATAAAATACCCAACATATAGGTACAGATATGTGTATCGGCCTTCCAATAGTGTTGAATCACAGATCTACTCATATCCCATAGACTAATATAATTTGGTAATTCAAGAAAGTGTGGCATATCCCATATATATTTTGGTGCTATTAGAAAATAACCACCCAATCCTAATGACATGAATAGACCCCACCAAACGGCTATACGTGGATAATGATACTGAACGAGAAAAGCTACCGGTGCTATCAGAAATATTTGAAACTCAGCAGAAACATACCTGATATATAAAAATATTTTACAGTACTGTCTAATAAATAAGTAACTAAATAATCAATTTGATACATACCAACCGCTAGGATTACACTGTAAATTAAAATTTTAATAAATAGTAATAAAATATTCAGATACTATATATAATAATGTATACCAAAAATTTTTCAGGTGGTGACACATTAAAATTGCTAATCATTGTTAATACAGAAAACCAATTATCACGACACGGGAGATATAATGCACTCGTTATAAATAACCAATTAGGACCTAATTAAAAATATTATTATAATATTAATTTACAGTTTAAATTGACATTTATTAGATTATTATTATTAGATTTATTAGATTATTATTATTAGATTTATTAGTTACTAATAATTAGTATATTATTACCATTTCCTAAAAGTGGAAATATAAAATAAAGCAAAACAGTGCCCATTACTGGTGTTACTACACGAAAATATCTGTTTTTAATTAAAAAAAATTATTTAACAAATTTGTTTTATTACTAAAAAGTTAATAAGTTTTACTTGAATACTACATATTGTATGTAATTGAATGAACCCTTAGACTTGTCTAACTTAGAAAACATCACATAAGAGGTCATCATTCCTGAAATATGGAGACAAAAGTACAGGTATTTTAAATTTAATGTTTTATTTGTAATTATTATGTTTGTACGGTATGTATGAGCTGTTAAATCATACCTCCAATCAAGAAAAACGTATCAATTACATAATAATTAGTTATATACATGTATTTCCACGACACTATCAATTGGGATCCGACCGAATTGGTGGCCGTTTTTGCATGTATTGGCAGAAAGTCTATCCAATTGGTGTGTATTAATAAAACACAAAATGCAAGAATAGTTCGGAGACCGTCCAGAAAAGCAAACCGATTGTTAGGATTACTGTTTATGAATAAACTTTTGAAATTAGTTATCATTGAAAACGATAGCATCAATTGTACACCCAATTGGTCTTTCATTTGTTTTTTTGACCACATTATGCGCCACAACTCATATAATGTTGATTTTACTGATAATATTATTAATACTAGAAATATAATTCTGAAAAATAGACATTTATTTATTTTATTACATTAAATTATTAAACAAGTTATAAATATTAAATTAAAAAAATTATCTATATATTTAAAATTTAATATGATTTTATTCATGAATTATTTATACTTACATTGCAATCCATTGATGAACATCCGGTTTAATAGGTTTGTCCACTGAATCACATTCAGGTAAGAATACGACCGGCATTTGTGTTATCGGATATATAACTAAAGTTTTTTTTAAAAATTATAATTTAGAAATTATTTGGTAATAATATTTACAAAAACCTTTATTCATAGCGTATTCAATATCTTGTATTTTACATGTGTTGGGCAAACAAATACCGATCGGTAAATGATTGTCAAATGTCTTGCCGTAAGACATAATTGCAATAAAATCGGCGACCATTTCTCGGCTAATTTGTAAAGCTTTCATTCGCATCGTTCGGTTGAAGTCATCGGTTCCATAATTGTCGTGCATTTTACGAAGTCTTTCATTTAATTTAATAAAATTTATTTCTTTGTTTAGCTGTTCATATGTATCGCCTTTGACTTCCATATTGACAATACCGACCCAACAGTACTGTCCTCTAATAGACTGTCCACTCATATCGTTAGTACTTTCTATACTTAGGCACTCATCATAACCGATCGATGAAGTACTTCCCTGTATTAAACCAGATTTAGGCGTTGGGAATGTCCGTAAAACTTATATAATTAATATTTATTAATTATTTTAGTACTTATTTTCAAAAATATTCAATAAAATGATATATTTTATCATAAATAAAAAGAATGTGATGTTATTTAATTAGTTAGTTTGATATAAAACACATACAATTTAGTGCCCATTTTTTCTTGTCTTTCACAGCCGATCCTAACTTTATCAACGAAGACATGCAATCATTTGGTAAATCAATTTCCATCAATAGTTCACTGAAACGAGCCGTCAATCTATTGACAATCGGTTCATATATTTTGCTGACATTTTTGGCAAAACCCGACATACGATTAAACCGATCAATAGTATGATTGATGTGTCCAACTCTTTGATAGATTTGCGATCGATTGGCCACAGAATAGTCATCGGGAGTAAGAGATTCAAACAGATTGTCTAATAATCGATTTAATGAACATTTATCGGGCAAAGAGTATACATTTTTTGTACATTTAATCAAATATATAGTACAAAATATAACTATTATATTTGAATATTTCATTATTAGAAAAAGAGTTCATAAATTTTTTTCTGGCAAAATAGGAAATATTTTTTCCATAAGTTATATTATAAATATATAATAAATTATGTTAGTATTTTGTTTTTGTTTTTTATAAGGTTTTTTGTATTTTAATTAAATGATTTCATAATCTAAATTTATTTTTTATTTAAAGTCATTTTAAATTTAATAAACATTGATTGTCATAATTTTGACTCTATATCACTAACCATAACAAACATTTAATTATAATAGATTTCTATATAAAACTATTACAATGTTATAAAATAAACTTTCAAAAACTAATTTTTTTCAATCTACTTAACAAAAGTTTAATAAATTCGTATATTTTTAAGAATACTAATTAAAATTAATTAATTAATATTATTTTAATAATTAATACTAATTATTTTATAATTTTGTCTCAATTAAATGTTAAAACTTCGATTGTATTATTTTTATTATTTATTTTTTATACCCTAATAAAATTAGTAATATTGTATTTGTATTTTTTATAAAATCAAAATGATTTTGCAGTTTAATGTACATTTTTTTTAATTTTGTCTAAATTTTTCAGTTTCTTATTTTTTTAAGCATATTTAGATAACTTTATTAATCAATTATTCTATTATACATAATAACATTGACTATCAAATTTTCAATAAAATATTTAGATAATTTATATTAAATTTTCTTAACATTATTCAATGTTAAATAAAGATTTAGTGGGCCTGGGCTATTACCGTTCAAAACTTGTTTTTAAAAAATTAAATTAATATTAGAATATTGTTAACTATTGAAATTATTTTTATCGCCAATTTGTTGTCAATGTGTCAGTTAATCATATCATTGATACTAAATGTTTGATCAGATAATGAAACAGATAACTGTTTTTAAATATTTAACTAATATTATGCTATTTTTCAAAAAAAAACAAGTATTTAATATTAATAGCATTTTAAAATAAACTAAATCAACTATAAATAAATACTTTATTAGTATTATGATATGCATTTCTATTGAATATATTATAATTTACAAGTAATAATAGATAAATTATACTATAATTTTTTTTATTATAATAGCATAAATACTGTTAGTTTTAATTGTGTTTATATTTAATAAGATATAACTAACAAAAATGTTTAGATATTACACAATAATAAAACAACTGGATTTTCAATAGGAAATTCATTATACAGTATTTCAAAAATCTTTTTAATATATATATCATTAGTTTGTTTATAAAAGTTAAAATTTATTTTTTTTGGGTTTATCACACAATTTTCAATTATTATACTAAAAAACATTAACTAATGAAAACTATAAGTTTTATTTCAGTTATGATTCAGAAATTATCTTTAAACACATAAGTAACAAAAATAATTAGTTTTAAAACTTATTTATTATATTTATGTTTTGTTTTTTTCATTATTAGTCATAAAACAATTAGTTAATTGAAAAAAATGAAATTAATTAAACTATCAATTATTATTATTAATGTAATTATATTATCAATTAATTGTACTCAAAATGACATTAATATTGATAGCGTCACTACTGTTAATACAAATGATGGTATTAAAGGTCAAGACTATACCACTGCTGTGAATCAATTGTTAGGTAATAATGATAATAATGAAGAAGAAGACGACGACGATTACTATTCAGGTGATGATTATGGCGATGACGAAGAAGACGATGACTGTACGGTCGACTTGTTTGTCGATCATTACACTGAACTTCTGTTACCCGAAGACTATGAAGAGTCGAAAAAATTGAATTTTACACAAAAGTCGTTTACATTTCCCGAAGTCATTGAAAAAGTCAAACGTTTGCATAAATACCAGCAAAATGTGACCAACAAATTGAATCCACTGATCAAGAAAGTTATGCCCAGACTATCGGAGCTAATCTTTTATGTTGACCTACCGGTAGAGTGCATGACGGCACTGGCTCGGGTGGGTCAGGCCGTACAAAACGGTGATCGTTGGGCCATAAAATGTAATATAATTTGAATTTTTAAATAACTAAACTAAAAATAATTGTGTTTTTTTTAATATATATATTTAAGTTATGGATTCATCGCCAATAGGACAGTTGGATCCGGTTAACTATAATTCGCTGCCTTTCGGCGAATATGAAGAGTGTATTACTATAGAAAGTCCCAGAGAAGTGGACAAATCTAAGATATACGGCAAATACTGTGCACTCGGTATACCAACTAATCTGATACCCGACAGTAGAGACCATCAACCAGAAGATAATAAACGAGTCGATCAAATGCTTTTGGATTTTTTGAGAAATCAATTTAATAATAGTGATGTCAATAAAGGCGATATGTTTTTCTTGGACAACCAGTTAGATAATGGACATACTGATGGCCACTTTTATGAAGGTATCATCAAATATATGGAGTACATGGGTGCTGAAAACATACGTCTACCTCCCGGCCTATGCATACCCACTGTTTGCGATGCCAAAGATGTTGAATACGCTATTAATAAAGGTAAAACTTTTAGTTAGTTATTTATAATTACGATAATTAATTAAGTAATACTAATGTTGTGTTTTAATAGTTTTATATCCATTGACTCATATGAATATCATAATCAATGAGGACTGTGATTATATAGGAAAGCCATTTGTTATAAACAATTATCAGATTATCTCATTGTAAGTCATTTGTTAATTTTATAATTAATATTTTTTTACAATTTAATTGTTTTTTTTTATATTCAACAGGACATTCATCTTAAGTATAATTATGATTTGCAGTGTTTGTACGGTTGTCTATAGTTTAAGAAAAACTACCGAAAAGACATCAAATAGTCGGACACTTGATTACATCGTACGAATCACCGACTGTTTTGCGCTCATACCTAATATCCGATCCGTATTTGTTAGTCCACCAAAACAATCGCCTAATCGAAGATTTTCGTCACTGGACGGCATACGGGCCGTACTGTGCTTCTGGATGTTTGTCCAAAATGAATACGAAGGCGGTTATCTACCATTACATACAATCAAACTTAAAGAGTCGGCAACCTATAAGTTTCACAATCAACTCAAATACATAATGTTTATTAACTGGAATCTAAACGAAACATTTTTTTTGATCGGAGGTATTATTATTATTATTATTATTATTATTATTATTATTATTATTATTATTATTATTATTATTATTATTATTATTATTATTATTATTATTATTATTATTATTATTATTATTATTATTATTATTATTAATTGTATGGTTTTTAGCAAATTGAATTGAAACACATTTTTTAAAAATAATTATTATTCAATATATTTTAAATTTAATCAAAAAGGATTTCTATGTTCTTATTTAACACTAAATAAATTGGATCAAACAAAAGGCATATTTGATTATATAAAATATGCACTTTCAAGGTATGCTAATATATTTTCAAATTTTATTTATATAAAAAAAAAGTTAATAAATACTATATAAAGTAGTATAATATTGATATAATATAATGGCTAAAGTTATCCATTAATTTGCAATCAGATATTTCCGGATAATTCCTGCAGTTTTGGTAGCAATTGCCATAACATTATTGTTTGAACTAATGGGAGACGGTTTGTGTGATAAATATATATATACACTATAATTATAAATTAGACATACAGTTGAATTAATGTTTTTTTCCTAATTAAATTGAATCCAGGTCCAATATGGCCTCTTATTAATCAAGCGCTTCAAAAACCATGCATTGAAAACCCGAGTCCAACAATATTTATGTTTAATAATTATGGATCGTTTCCCGATGTTGTTACGGTATGGCAACTATAATATTAAATTTGTTTACAAAAAAAGATAAGATAATTAATTACAATTTTGGTGATAGTGTGTTCCGGTCACATGGTATATATCTACCGATTTTCAACTATACCTGATAGCACCGATTTTTATATTAGTACTGTATTATTATCCAATTGTTGGCATAATATGGACACTGTTTTTTGGCGTAACTTTAGGATCACTGATAGCATTAGCGCCGAAATATTTGTTGGGAATCCCGCATATATTTGAAGGCTACCGGACATTGAATTTCGATACAATGGTCAGCTCACTGTCACACCATTACTGGGGCATTGAACCACACTTTCAAGTCTATACATTGGGATTATTACTTGGATTTATGGTAAAAAAATATCCGAAACTCAATTTGGGCGGTTATATTGGAGAAAGTGTACTCTGGATAGTGACCTGGTCTATGACAGGGTATGCCTTATTTTGGCACCGAAACTATTTTCGAGTTACTGAATATGTGGTCAACAACAATGAGATACTCTTATGGGTTTCACTGTCCAAACTATGCTATTCGGCCGGTTGGATGTGGGCTATCTATGCCTGTTGTACGGCCAGAGCTGGTATGACAATACTATTAGGTTTTTTGTATAAATTTTAACAAAATATTAATTGATTTTTTATATATATATATATAGGTTTTATAAATCAGTTTTTTGGTTGGAGAGGATTCAGACCGATCTCACATTTAATGCTTGAAATCTATTTGGTATTAGAAAATTGATTAAATTAATTATATTTATTAATTAAAAAATAATAATTTTATTTTCATAGCTACGACTGTTTACAATACTCTTTAGAATAGGTACGGCCAGAGAACAGGTGTTTTATAGCGACTATTATGTGGTTAGTATTGATATTGAATGAACTATTATTTTTAAAAAAAAAACTTATTTATTATAATTATATATTTATATCATATTTTTATTGTTAATTAATTAATTAAATTTATTTTTTTTCTTTATTATTATTCCAGTTGTCAATAACCATATTTGACTTTGCAATGACCTGTCTATTTGCCTTAATTGTCAACGTTTTAGTTACCAAACCGTTTGCAAATCTATTGCAATTAGCATTTGTAACTAATCATGGCTTAGCCACTAATACTAACGGTGATATCAGTCTATTGAATGAAAAAGATGCAAATAATAATAATAATAATAATAACAATAATGTGGTCAACGATGTCATCGTATATACAAATACTGCATTTGACAGCAATGAGTTGTTAAGCAAAACTATAGTCAATAATAATAATACTAATCTGATTAATGATTCCAATAATATTAATAATAATAATATCAATGATATTAATAATGATATTAATGATAGTAATAGTAATAATATTAATAATGATATTAATGATAGTAATAATAATAATATTAATAATAATAATAATAGTAAAATTAAAGATGTGTTAGTTAACATGTAAATTATAAATTAATTAAAGTAAAAAATAATTATTCACTTTTTGACTTTTGACTCATTTTTAAAAATTTTATGTATTTTTTGAATGATATTTATATACTTTATTAAAACTGATAAATAGCATACTTTTCAAACAAACTTTTTCAAAGTTTGTTTTTTTAAATTTATGTGTATGTGTGACAAAAAAGACGGCCAAAGTAAAAAAATACTAAATTGAAAATTTTGATTTTAAATTCAAATAAATAATTATTATAAAATGTACAAATTTATTGTCTTAAAAAATATTGCTATATTTACTCATCAACATAATGAAAATAGCTGACAAATTTATATATTTTAAACTGTTAAAAGATTAATTATAATAATAATACATAAATGTTAAAATGTTTTTATATTTTTGAAAAGCATTTTGTGTATAATATCATTCATATGAATTATTGTAAATATAATCAAATATAATAAGAATATGTTTGTAAACAATTAATATTTTGGTTATAATTTGATTAATGGTTATCAATAAATATTTTAAATATTAAAACAAACAGTTAATACAATATATACTAAACAATTCTAGCAGATAATATTTTTAATATATAATTATTTAGACAGACAAATGTTAGCTATTCATGTGTGATGTATTTTATTAATGTATACGAAGTATTTTATGCCATCAAAGTTTGTTTCTGGCAATGCTATATAGCATTCTTACTGGGTTTTTTTTAATTATTATTAATAATTATAAAATTAACAATTAGATTTATTACATAAATTATTTATAAACTTAAAGTATTAACTGTTTTCTTAAACAAACAAAAAATATTAATAATAAAGTTATTTTCATAGAATAAGATCTTCAATATTATAGGCATTGATTATGATTTCATAATTCATATAAATAATGACCCAAAATGTCCCTTCAATCCAATATCGTCTATTAAAAAATAATAAATAAAATAATACATTATTTTTTATAGTTTAAAATCATTTTTATTTACAATTTAGATACTTATATATTTAAATTAATAATACTTACAATGAATGCAATCGTCCATCAATTTCACTTTTATTTATTTGAACAATTTTAGTATCATTATTATTATTAATATTATTAGACAATTGTAAATCATAGTTAATATTATTGACTACATTTTTGTTGGATAAATTGAAATTTCTAGTATCACATAAATTTATTGATTTAGTATTACAACAATTGTTATATTTAATTATATAAAAATATATAAATATTACTGCATAGCAAATTATTTGTCTAGTTTTGTACATGATATTTTACTATTTGCTATAATATGATATTATAGATAATTTTTTTATAACAAAAAATATAATAAAAACAATTATATACAGTATATAAAATTATGTTGATGAAAAAAATACAAATTTTAAACATTTTTAATTTACATATTATAACAATTTTTTTTGTAATAAAATATGAATATAGCATTCCTTAATGTTATTTACAGTCTATACAAGGATATAATAATAATAATAATAATTTACTATTTAATAAAATTAATGGTTATTCCAATTATTTGTAGTGTCATAATAAATATGGCATTATACTGTACATGATAATTAATATGTATAATAATGTATATTATAAATAATGCTAACTAACAGTAAACAATAATAGTTTTAATTAATACAATCATATTTATATACAGTATATATATTTAATCTTTATACATATAGTATTTTTAATTTTTCTAAATTATCTAATTATAGATGCAGTGTAGAATAATTGTTGTTATTTTAATGCTTAATATATTGTTTTACATATTTGTATATATATGCCTAAAATAAAATTGATAACAATTTTTAGAAAAGTAAAGTTAAATAATACTTTTATTATAAAAAAAAATAATTTTTATTATTGGATTGTACATTTTGTGCAACTTTACAAAAGTGGAAAATTTCTATACAAACTTGCTTTTCAGAAAAATTGCTAATATTTTAGTATTAAAAACTCGGATTTTTAATGTATTATAAAGATATAATATATATGTATATAAATATATAAAGTACTAAAATTTTAACTCAATTTAATAGTAATTATAACTATTGATGTCATAAACTGTATAGTTTTTACTTTTATTATAATATTTAGGTTTATTTCTAACTTTGTATGTAAAATACATTATATAAACCATAAACACATTATTTACCAATAAATACAAATTATTTAAATGACTACTATTTATTTGAAAAACAAAACTATTTTTTTCCTGAAACTTTTTATTGTTAAAAATAGCTACTTTTATAAATGTTTTAATATAGAAATTATTTATTAAAATAAATTATAAGATATAAATTATTATAAGACAAATATTTAGTATGAAATAAATGATAAATCAATTGTATTTTTTGTCACTCGCTATTTATACTTATAGAGTTTTATTATTTACTATTTACTAAATAAAATTAATTTACATATATTTAAATTATTGTCTCGCAATAAAAAAAATTATTTCAATTGTAATGATTTTTACACAATATTTCATAATAAGTAACGTTGAGATCAATAAATAATCGGTTATGAATATTATATTGTAGATTTCAAATCAGATAAACATAAATTGTTTTTTAGGCCTCCAAAAAATATAATGTTAAATTACAGGTAAAATTAATATTAATACATTAAGTTAGAAAAAACAATAAATTATTTTATTGACTTTTATCAAATAATACAGTAGATTACGATTATTTGTATCAACTGTTACTGGTTTTTATATGTATCATCACTTTAATAATAAATACAAAAATTTCAATCATTTAAATGAAAGAAAATTGAATTTTTATAAACAATTAAAAACACTTAAACCAAACCTACAAACCGCTCATCTGATGGTCGATAGTATAGATAATTTGATAGACATATTAATGCCAAAGTTTGTTGAGATCAGGATTGTAGGCACCGATTATCGTACAAATAGTTACGGCACCGGTTGTATCATTCTCTACGAATCAATACCATTGGTCATAACCAATGAACATGTAGTTGAAAAGTCAGGTTTGGCTCACATTATGATCAATGGCGAGACTGATTGGCGAATGGGTCGAGTCTTGTATACCGATCATTGTGTGGATCTGGCGGTCATAGCCTTTGATTTCAGAGGTGCCCAAATAGATGTGTTCGATATGGCAGAGTCTGGACCATCATTTGGTGATCCGGTAGTATCGCTGGGTTTCGGTACCAATCACTACAGTGTAGGCTATGGCCATGTGATATGTCCAGAGAGTTTGTCAATAGTAAGACGACTAGTGAGCACTGCCGACAAACCATCGCTGCCTATAATAGCCTACATTGAGAACAGTGCCGCACAATCGCCCGGTTTCTCTGGCGGTCCACTGGTCAATAATAGCGGACAGTTGACCGGTGTTATCAGTATGTCTCGATGGTATATACCGCAACACTATTCATTGGCTGCCAGTGATGTTACAGGTAATTAATTAGCAATACTATAGTACCGGTACTAAAAATTTTAATCACATATTTAATATTGAATTTTTTTTAAACAGATTTTGCCGAAAATATCGGCGGGTTTTTGTGGTCCGAAACGAATAGACGTGAAGGTGAGCACAACATCAAATTAGGACTGTTTATTAAGTGGGGTGGACCACAAATTGGATGTATGGTCATCAAAAAATTTATAGATAGTCAAGGAAAGTATGTATTTTGTATATACAGTAATAACTATTTATTTAAAAGTACTAAAAATCGTATATTTTTCTTAATCACTTGTATTTTAGTGAAAATGTCAATACGTTTGATATTATAGTTGAAATCAATGGCCAAAAAATTCAATCTATTAATCACATGACAGATATGATCGACTACTATATTGACGACGAGGACATACCTGTGCTCATCAAACATAAAGGAAAACTAGAAACCATTAATATTCAAAAAGATTTGCTCGATTTATCTCATATTTAATAATAAAATTATTATTAGTATTATAGAAAAGCTATTTTATTTATAAACTTTAAACAAACAATTTTAATGTTTTAAAACAGTATTAAAATATACATTACTGTAAATCTAGTAATGAGTCTAAAATAAAGCAAAAAATAATAATAATAATAGTATTTATAATTATGAAAATATTATATACGATAATATAAATATAAATATTCAAATAAAGTTATATCAAAATTAAATATAGATAATAATAATTAAGTAATTAATAGATTTAAATACAAATATTTCTATTATTTACGCGAAGAAGAATATAGTTTGAAGATTTCATCGGCAATATTAAGCGAACCTTTTGGCTTATTTGACCGATTATTGGTGACACCATATGGTGCCGATGTTGAGCTCAAGAATCCTCTGAATGGTAGAAGACGTTTCGGTGGACACGAATCAGTGACCGACGGACAGCCAGAGTCCTGCCAATCAGTCAGACGTTGTTCAAGAGTTACCATACTTTTTAAGCGATTGTCTTCTTGAGTCACTTCGAACGTCTTCTTCATATAGACTTCGGTTTTCTTCAGTTGCTGTTTTGATCCAAATGTTTCGCCCGAATTGACTCGTTTGGTGCAAACATCTTCAAACGTCTCACTACTGTTGCGTTTTGTGGCCAACGAAGACAATGATGTTATTGAATTCAATGGAAATGAATTCATATCAGAATTAACTATTGGACTGTTGTTGTTGTGGTTGTTATTACTGCTGTTCTTCAGTTTCTTCTGAATCAAATTCAATGGACTGTTAAACGATAAAACATTAGCTTTGAAATCACTAGTATTTTGTTTAACTTCGTTGGAATCCATCTTAATCTTTGCTATCATTTCGTCGGTATTTTTATAATTCAATGACAAAGATGTCGTCAATTCATTTGAGAAATTTGTCGGTTGTTTTGGCCGTTGAAACAATAAATTGTTTTCAAAATACTTTTCATGTCTTTCGAACCAATGATTTGTCAGTTCATTGTTTGGTGTCTCGACTCTTGTATCGAAACAATTTGACTCTTCATTGGCCATCATTTGACTATCAATTGGTTTTGCAATACTTTGCTGAGAATTTGGTATCCGATTGTCGGCAAAACATTTCGGTAATGACAACGAAGTGGTTTTGTTGCGATTAAATCTAAAAAAGTCGATCAATTGATCGGACGACGGCTTTCTTTGACTGCCAACTGATCTATCACTCGGCGGTCTACTCCTCGATTGAATTGGCAACTCATTTGTCGGTCGAGAAGTTGTTTGTGGCTTCAAATTGAAGGCTAATTTCTTAGTGTTCTTCTTCACGTCTTCATTGGCTCCGAATTTGACGACAATCTTCTGTCTGTGACTTTCGACGGCAGCTTTAATTGACACCAATTTCTGTGAATCCAATTGTTTTTGTTGTTGTTGTTTATTATGATCACTGGTTACGTCTTTGATTGTATAATTCAGTGACACATGCGATGACTGATTGATTAGTGGATCCAATTGGCCATCAAATCTACTACTATTGTCGACATCCACTGAACTCTTGTCGGTGTCTGTGTTAGTCAATGTCGACCTCAAAGACTTTGTCGCCGCCTTAAAGAAATCAATTGCCAAATATTGAGGCATTTTTAGGTGTGTTGTTGAAAATGATTGGATCAATTGATGTGATAATCAATTTGAAACCAAACAACAAATAGTCATTTTTATAGACCAATAGTTCAATCACTTCATTGTTATTACATTTTTTTACTTTAAAACAACAATCAATGCATTCATTCATTCAATCATTCAATCAATGCTTTACTTTACATTCAATTTACAGTTTAACTTATGATGTAATCAATGCTAATATCGTTTTGGTTTTTTAAATGCATATAAAAATTTTATTATAAAAAAAATAATTATAAAGTTTATTAATAAAATAAAAGTTTTTATTATTAATTAGTAATTTTTTTACTTAATATATAATAATAATATTGTTTGTTTGTTACACTTTTATTAAATTGTTTTTATTAAAAAAAATTACATATCATACTAAAAATTAACTATAATAAGAATTAATATAAAGTGTTTGAATTAATTTATTTTTTATCAAAATGTTTGAATTATGAAGTGCTATATGTGTTTTTTTGAGAAGTGTAGTGATAACAATGGTACCAATTGGTGACCCATCGATGATCAATTATTGTGTGGTTGATAATGAGTGGTAAGAAAAATTAATCGGAAAATGTTTCATCAAATTGTCGCTTAAGACTATTCCAGAGTTTAACACCGGCTCTGATGCCGTCTTTCAGTGTCTCGGAGGCCATCGTAAGCAAACGATCCGATAGTGAGGTATCTGTGATAAGCAACAAATAAAAGAGATTAAAAAGTGTTGATTTGTCTGACACAAGAAAACAAAATAGTCACAGATCTGATCCACACTAAAAAACAAACCTTTGTTGTTATTATTATTATTCACTTTATTCTTGTATTTGTTTTTCCGTCGATTCTGAGCCCTGCGTTTGTTTCGCTGTAATAGCCGTCGATTGATATCACTTGCGATCGGCGACGACGACGACAACGTCGGCAACCGATTGGTCGCCAATTTGTCACCATTTGTCGACTTATTTGTGATGTTTTTATTATTGTGATTGTAATTCATATACTGATTGATAGTTTTGTAGAAACTTTTATTTAACATCAATTGATTATTATTGACATCAATATGTTCAGTGAATTCTGTTTTAATAAAATATTTATTTTTCAATAAATTAACATTTGATTTGATAACATATTTGCTAATTAAATGGACAGTCGTGTTATTATTGATGTCTGTAGTGTTTAAATTAAATAATTTTAACAATTTATTAATATCATCAAAATCTTTATTATAATAATAATTGGTATCTGATTTAACTTTAACACTTTTCATAAATACAAATACTATAATAATATATATTAAAAATATTTTAGCAGTTTTAAGCATTTTTTAGCACTTCATATTATAATTTTAGTCAATCTACTACTTTATTACAACTAAATTTATGAAATGATTTTATTTTTAAATTTAAATATAGTAGTTTTGATATGAATTAATAAAATATACAATTTTTTTATACAATATTATTAATAAAAGAGTTGTTCAATCGTGTCAAGGATTGTGTATAAGTATAGATCGGTTTCATCGGTGAGGAAAGTCATTAAATGGTTAGTAGGTGTATGTGCTTTCAAATAGGATAAACCTTATTATATATATATAATATAAATCATAAATAAAAATTCAATGAACCCATATGTATGATCAGATAATTATTGTTTTTCCAATACTATTTAATATATATATTTTTTCACCATTTATTTGTGAATAATTGTGTGAATTAAGTGATTAGTCAATTGTAGTACTGATTTAAATAACAATAGACATTAACAATGGGTTAACATTAATAAAATTTTTATATACAATATTTATAAATAATAGTAATGTTTTCATATTGACAAAATAAATGATAATAATATGAATTAATACTAAACTAATGTTATAATTTTATAATAAATGATGCGATAATGTGAATAAACATTTCAATTTTATGACCCAAATAATTGTGATCATAACAAAACATTTTACAGGTATTTACAATGATTGCAATAATATTATGCAATTTTTCTTTAATTTAATGCTATAATTGTTTATTTTGAATATATAGGAAACATATTATATATTTATATATATATCGACGTGAAAATTAGTATTTTGTTAATTTTATATCAATAGTTAATTTCAATAGAAAATTTATTTATAAAATTATTCAGAGCAATAAAAAATAATTGATAAATAAATTTATTTTATAATAATAATAATATATGTTTATCAACAAACATTTATATGTAAATATAAAGTAAATATATAGTAGAGTTGCTAAAAATATTATTTTGAAAAGATTATAATTAAAAAAAATTATATTCAATAAAGTATTGCTAATATAATAATAAAAATTTAGTATTAAGATTTTTTTTAGTAAATTCTAAATTTATAAAATTCCATGTAAACTTACTATTATTTTTTAAAAATTAATGATAAACTAAATCGATATATAAAATAATAATAAAAATATAGAGTATTATATAAATATATAGATTATTATATAAATATATAGATTATTATATAAATATATAGATAGCTATTCCCAGAATTACTGTACTATTCTGTTAATATAAATTTCTAGTAAACAAAGAGGCATTTCAACAAAAACGCTATTATAATCTATTTACGAGATATTAAACATCGAATAAATTGTTCAATACTTAACTTTACAAATTGTTACCAACACTTTAAAATCTAGTGAATAGATTATATATATATATATATATATCTTTTTTGTCCCAGTGTAATTTTAAATTGTAAAATAAATAAATAAAATTATAGTATAATCAAGATTATTAAACATATTGATATACAATATAATTATATTATTATTTAAAATTAGCATATATGAATATATAGATTATTTTTACTACAGTATTATATATTATAATTTATGAATACTTACTTCTACAGTATATACAATAAAATTTTGTTTTATATTTAATGATTGCTGTTTTTAATGATATATTATTATTATATTATTGTCATCAATACTATAGCATTAATTAGAAACTATCCATTATTTTTTGATGTATACAAATACTGGTATACTATAACTTAATAGTATTTAAGGTAAACAATGGTAACAATGAAAAACTTATTTACTGTATTTGCTATATAAAAATAAATATTAGTTGTGGACATTAGTTACGAAAAAAAAAATTTCATAATAATTATATTAACTATAAATTTTAGTTTTTATTGTACATAATAATACTGTATACATGTAATGTAAACACATATAAAAACAACAGTCAATGTTTTTTTTGATACTATTTTATTAATAATGTTAAATGAATAATCATCTTATGTTTATATGTATAGTTTGTCTATTATTTTATATTTTTACTTTTCCGGCTTAAATATCTATTTAATTC